AATATTTTCAGGGAAAAAGCACCTGTCTTCTGTAAACACCAAAGAAAAGGGATCAGCGAGCATGGCAAAACCTTGACCTGGTCCCACTTGGGAGAGGGACAGGAGTGGAAAGGAAGTAAAGCAAGAAGGCAGAGAAGGTCCCCTGGAGTACCCAGCCACAAGTGTGCTCCACAGTGTCTTCTGCTCCTTCTCCCATGCTCAGACAGTTTTCCAACTGGAGAAAACTTCTTAACTCTCAAATAAGCGATTAATTAAAATCTTCAGTGAAACTTACAGCAAGCCACATTTGTAACCAAACATATTGTTCTGCTATTCTGAAATGAAAAGGTACCTGACTTGCATTTCACCATGTCTCAGTGCAACCTTACCTTTTTAGCAGGAAAAGAAGTTACACTCCTGGAGGCCATACCTGCTCAGAGCTGTTCTGGCTCTGCACACCTTCGTAAGGAGGAGGTGGGTCCAGAGGGCAGAACACTTTAATGCCTTTGATTCTCGCTCTGTAAATATGGGGTAAGGGAATCACATCAGAGGCAAGCATCCTGCAACAAACAACTCTGAGTAACTCTGTACTGCTTTCCAGCTGCAGAAAAACACCATCTGCTACCAAATTCCACCAGCTTTCTTGTGCCAGCTCAGATTTTGGGATCTCAGTCCCAGCTATGAACTTGACAAGAGCTGCAAAGGGATTTTCCCAGAAGGTGGCAAGAAACTGCTCTTTAGAAGATGTGTCTCCAGTGCATTCACCAGAGCTTCAAACATCTTTGAGTAGTGCTACGACTATCAACTCATTTCAGTTTTTCTTGACAGACATTCAGTTTTATTTCAATAGATTCAAATGCAGGCCATCATTCAAAATACAACCAGCTAGCTCTGATTTTTGCAAACTACTAAATTTTTTATTATAACTGAGATGCAAGGTACTTCTGGTCTCTTATTTTATGTTCAGATAGAGCTGCACAGAAGAAGGCACCCTCAAACTAAAGGCTATTTTTGTGATGATGCTTGACTAAGAATAGTATAGCTGATCCATTCATGAAGGCTTGTATGAGGCCTCATGGTTAACCTTACTCCTCAGTTTTCAAAGAGGTCTCGGAAACTTTCCATACAGCAGAAATCCCAAAGACCTTCTGTTGTGTTCTCTTCCTCCTAGGAGGCAGCTCTGAGAAGAAAGAAATCAGAACTGTGCCTAGAGAGACCTTTTGGCAAATGCCCATTTTGATAATGGCTTACAGCTATCGCTCGTGCATGCAAACTCTCTGCAAAGAAATGTTACATAAGAGCAAGTCCTTCCTCCCAGAGTTTAGGGCTTCTCTGGACACCAACTACAAGGAATAATGATGACTGTGAAAGAGTCATGCCTATTGAAGGCTGCTTATGGAGGAAAAGAATAAAACTTCCAAGAAGAGAAGTGGGGAGCACTTTTGTGAGAGGCTCAAGCCAAGGTAACAGAGAAATTTGAGGAAAGGAAAGAAAATATTTTGGTAAAGTGGTCATTGCATTTCTAACCTTAAAAATTGGGGAAATATAACATGTTTAAATAGTTCTTATTTTCAGCCTGTTTCATCTGCCCCTAAAAGCTTCGGCATAATTTTAGAGTACAGTGAAGACTGATGCTCCATTGACATTACTTCATCACATTTTTCCAGTATGTTTGTGCTGAGCTTTTACTCAGTGTAGGCCACAAATGTATATACTTATTGAGCTCAATTCTGTTTTTAGATGTGGCTGATCTGGCCTATCCAGCTCAGTCACACCTTGAAAATTAACGCTGCAACCAAGAGTTATATCATGTTAAACTTACTACAGAAAATGCACCTAGAAAAGCATTCCTTTAAGTACTTTAAAACAAAAGTAATTTCCAGGATGCACACATTTGTCAATTTGTTTTTTTATTTCTAAAATCCCACTCTCTCTTTTTATGTAAGCAAGGCAAATTCTTGTTCTGGCCAAAAAGCCATCAGCTTCTTGAAGCAATGATGCAGGAAGGCAGGGAATAGGAGTCACAGCTTTTTCAGGGAACCTCACTGTCAAGAGACTGGTCCAGCCTGGGGAGAAGCTCTCCATCGCTCCTGGTAAGCAGGACACTGAAAGGAAAAGGTGTATCTGTGGCCACCTCTCACCCACCTTCTGCACCTGTACCTCATCTGAACACAGCAGTCAGGGCTTTGGCCTCCCAGAATATTTAGTGTTTCACTAGCAAAAATATATTCAGTAGTTAAGAAACCACTGTGAGCAGCATATGAGTCCAGCTTGAGACATACACTGTATTTGAGAGTATATGACTTGGATAAGCAGATTCTCATCTTGGCAAATGCCTCTAGTCCCCAAATGGAACTTTAAACAGGACTATGGTAATTCTAGACCTCAGGCAATTGCTTTGCTGTCCCACATGGATCACCTCTTGCCTTAAACTCACGTCTTATAATACCTCATATTTTATTCTTCACGTGGAAACTCAGCCATAACTGCTAATGCTTTGCGCCAATCCTGAAAAATAACTGCTATTTCCTTACTTATGAAACAACAAGATTAGTGGTAGGAGCTGTCCAGACATTTATAATGTTAGCTTGTTTCGTGTACCATTCAATAAAAAAAATGCAAGGGTTCTCCCATGAACAAATGAAGAAACAAATTAACTGGCCTTGCCAGCAGTGCCTCTGGCTCTGCAATTTAAAGGCTGGAGGAATACAGCTACCCATCCCAAATATGTCCTTGGCACACGTTTTGACCACCACAGTGTTTCCTTTCTCAAACGTATCTGCTTTGGAGTCACCTCAGGTGCAGTTTGCAGATGGTGGCTTGCCACCCTGGATACAGTTCCTGTCACCCTCCCTTTTGCACAGCGGTTTTGGATGTGGTGTCTGTGGGCACCCAGCACAGAAAGCCAGATCGGACTCAGCGTGGCGCTCAGGATACAGACCAGGCAGGGACACGAGGGAGAGGTATGGCGGGGGCCAGTTGAGGAAGGGCCAGGACCCATCTCAGCCACTCTGCTGGACACCCCGGGTCCAGCCAGGGGCAAGTCATATTTTCTCAACTGCCAAGAAAGGAAATTAAGTCTGTCTGTTACTTTACCTTCCATGCTGCTTCATAACTACCCTGAGCACCTTGAAACAAGTAGGCTGACTTAAGAAAGGTGTCATCATCACTTGAAAGTTACCAGCAACAAGTTTAATGCAGTCACAGGCAAGGCAGCTACCCAATATTAGACGACAGAAGCCTTAAATATTGTTCAGCAGCCCCTGCTGTGCTGAAAATAGACAAATACTGCTGCTGGGAGGGAGATAATCTTCCAGAATGACATGCCAGACAAAGAATGACAGCCCTATTTTAAAGCAGGAGAACAGTGACAAGCATATTTCAATAAATACCTAATATTCCAAAGAGATCATTACACACACCATTCTGATCTCATAACTAGCTTTAACTAAGACTCACATAGGAGGGTTTTAGTAATGCTTGGAATTCAACTCCGGGTTTTGGTAGTTTAGACTACTTTTTCATTGTAAAATCTATGTCTGTGCCATGTTCCCATTTTCTAGGTAATCCCAGGATTTGTAATCACCTCTGCAAGGACCACAGTCTTAAACGTCATGCACACTAGTCCTGATGAAACACTGAAATGAACTGAACAGTCTTACACACTGCAAAATGGAGGAGTTTTAAACATGGGGAGAGTGACACAGTCTACTTGTGCACCACGACATTTTATGTATAAATGCTGTGTTTTCACAGCAGAATAACACAGTCCCACCTGAGTAGTAAATTAATAAACAAAGCTAACCTGGAAGCTACTGTGAAAAGTTTGTAACTACCTGCAGAATGAAGGATAACAAAACCCATTGAAAGCCACCACTGAATTCTAAGAAATATAGACACTAATAAATGCCAGCACAACAAAATAACAGAGTTGATGTGTAGCGGACAAACTACACATCTATTTTTTCCTTATTCTTCAAAACAATATACAAATAAAAACCCCACCAAATTTACATTTTAATGTTTCCTAAGGCTAATTATATCAAAGAAGACAGCCTTCCGCAAATTTTCTGCATGTTTTATCTTACAATAAAACTCATACAGCTATTTTATCCTCTAAATCCTACTTCCCTCATCTTTATAGTTGTTTTGTTTTGTTTTGTTTTTTAAAGTGTGTCGAGAAAGATTACAGTGACTTGTGACTATCTTTTTTTCTCTCTGATACGTGAACTGATCCTCCCATGGTCACTTTCACTCCTCCATTCTGATATAAGGGTACTGATTACCTGGCCTGGCAGTACAATCAAAACATGCCCTTTGGTCAATCATAATTGCCAAAAAGAGAAGAAGAATCACTCTAGCAGGAAGGTCTGTGAGGGACCAGGCTGCCACTCAGGGATATCTTGCATAAGCCTTGCCAAAAGGTTGCACCTGGCTTTCTGTCACTGCCCTGACCTGCTCCTGACAGTGTCATACAAGTTTTCAGCCATGTCAAACTGCAGTATTTCTCTTACTCAGAAACAGTTCCTACAGAATCTAAGATGAAAGCCAAAAATTATAGCACTTACCCTCACACTATTTATGCTGTTTCCTAGCTCAACAGGAATTTTCTTTTTTTTTTTTCTAGTCACCAACATTTTTCAGTTAATAACAGAGAAAATGGTCTTAAAAAGAATAAATTAAGATTATGAAGTGTTTCCAAAGACACTAAAAGAAAGGAAGAGAGTTTAGAGGCTTACCTGTGACTCATCTCCAAAGCAGAAGAATAAAGAGTTTCAAAATAGGAGGGAGGTGGCACAGGTGGGACAAAATCATCAAGATCCAAGACATCATCTTCGTCTTCAACCCGAGGTACCCCCTAATCAAACAAAACTTCTCTTAAAAACCTCCTGAGCTACAAAAAAATGGCTGAACTGTGTAACCTAGCAATACTGTTAGTACCATTATTTATAGCAGGCAACACCTTGCATTCAACTTACTCTGCAGGATCTTCTTGTTGCAAAAGACCGTAAGAAAGGCAGGGCAGCTGCTACCAAGCAAACTATGGTGGTGATGGCATTCAAGGCACAAACAGCAAAGAGTACTTTCTGAAGAACATGAAGATTAGGGAAATTTAAATATTAAATCAACGTTTTTGTAAATATCAAAATGACAGTAATTAAAAAAAAACAAAAACAAAAAAACAAGCACAGAAAACACAAGGATGACCATGACAATTAATTCTTAGAAACATACGTGATGAAGTCTTCAGGATGGGTCATCTCCAAGATTGGAGTCATTTGCAAAAGGTTGTTTTGCCCTATTTTATGTCCTGACAGAGAGATCCAGAAGGGTTCAATACTGCTCAGATGTGATTTATAGTCCATCTATTCATCCAAGAATTATAACCTTCCTCATAACTCTCCTTTTAACACATCCATGTGTGAGCTATTGACCATTAAAGAAATGTTAAAGTACTTTTATATTTGAAGATGATACTGTTCCAAAGTTGTATTTTAGGAGTTTGCAAGCCCAGAAAAGCCAAGAAGATCAAAACACCAGTGAAGACATCAAACCATTAGCTAAATTTTACATTATATTTACCCGTGCAGGCTTGTCTGCATTCAGCTGTAGTTCTGGTTGCATAAAACACAGAAAGGACAAGAACTGTATATTGGATCAGCAATGCACTGGTCTCCAGAGATGAGAAAAAAAAAACCCAAACAGCAAATAGTTACAGAACCATAAAGAGCTTCTGATCAATGTGGAAGAACAGAAAAATAACAGATTTTTTCCATAACAAACAGAGCAATCACTTCATCACTGCACTATCACACAACTGTGGTCTTTTTCAAAGCAGTCATGTTAAGCAGTGTATGCACGGCACCTTGAGAAGAAAGTGAGCAGCACTGCATGACTTCAGGTGGTACAGCTTCAGCAGTGTCTCTTCTTCTGTGCATTTAGTAAGATTTATTTCTTTACAGCAGAGACAAATCTTGTCTTCACCCGTGTCCACCTTTAAAAACACAAAAATCCACATGTTAATTTATTAGCTGCTTTATGCAACATTTTTACCTGCATAATATAAAGTCTACGTGTTAAACTATGCCTCTAACTGCAAAGTAGACTGGAAATATGGCCTCATAAAATGAGATTTGTACCTATGATATTAAAATCAGCATATAATGCTGGCAAGAGGCATTTTCTAAAGATATACCTGAAATTCCCTCTTACATGGCTCCATAAAATGGTCTAGAAAGCCTTGTACCAAAACAGCTGTGTCTTTAGACCCTGAAGACCAAGGCCAGTTTCCAGTGAAGTTAAAACCATTTCTGGGCTAAGTATGCTCTTGTAATGAAGAGCAAAACCTTTCAAAACCTATGCTTTTAGAGTCTTCAGCTCTAGAAGCTGAGCCCCTTATGAAGACTCCAGCTCATAAGCCCCGAAGTGTTTAAGAACACAGACTATAAAAATACTGTGGTGTATTGCAGTGAGTCTGTTCACAATTCAAACTGAATCAAAGCCCTAAACAAGAGTTTTCTTTTTTCCTTCACCACACTGTAGCTACATTACTTGCATCTCTACATTAGCAAATTTTGTGATCCTAGCTTGGCAAACTTGTATGGCATGCCATGAAGAAACATGTGTAAAACAGTTTGACTGCTCACCCAATCGCATCTGGGTACACTGGACACAAACAGAATGCCTTGACATCCCAGTATAAGTCCAGTCAGGCTCAGCAGAACACAGATGATAGACAGCAGAACAAATAAGTTAGCCTGGAACAGCAAAATAAGGTTAACAGCAGTCGAAACAGGATCATGAACCTGACTCAAGAACTTACGGCAGTACAAATCCCACTCCCAGCCTGAAGCTGGTAAAGACGTTCTCCTTTTCAAAACTCCCCATGACTTCAGTGTCCCAGAGCGTCTTAACCCAGTAGGTAGTTACTCCAAACACCTTTGTTTTCTCTCTCTCCTAGTTCTGCACTGCTATTTGCAAGCTGTCCCACTTTCACTTCTATGTCATATCCTTCCAGCAAGCTTGCCTCTCAACACATTTAGATCCATAAGAAACCTGAAGAGGAAACATCTTAAGACAACACTTATTCTGCACAGAATTTCCAAAACTATTTTGCAGCACAAATAAGTGAAAAAAAAAAAAAGGCCTCCCAGTACAGTAAGGACGGAGACACTCAAGTGACTCTGGTTACACAATTTTATTTCCATTCATTAAGATATTAAGCAGTACTGGACCCAGCATTCCCGCCCCAGGGCACAACACTGCTGATTGGGCTTTGTGTCACCCATCACAACCCTCTGAGCCCAGCCATTCAGACAGTTTTCAACCCACCTCAATGTCCAATTACTGAACATTTACTCCCTCAGCTTACTTTATAAGCTATATTCTCCTGCAGATGCAAATTTAAACATCTTCTCTCCCACTGCTCACCTACAAGTAAAAACAGGTGTTCCACTTTATCCCAATGAAAGAAGATCCTATCCACAGGAAACCAGGAGAAAAGTACTTCTGAGCTTAGAATAAACAGGCAAAGGCAAACATGCCATTTTAAAAACAAAAACTGAGGTTACTAGTCTAAACTGCAGATAGAAATGGAAACAATGCAAATTATGGCTCTAGCTAGGCTTACAGCCCTCATCTTCTGAACATTAGACACACATGGACCATGAACAGCTGCAGAAAACCTGAAGGAACGCTTACATGAATTAAACTATAAGAAAACAAAGCACATTCTAATGTTAGACAACGTATTTGTTAATGTCTTGCAAGGATGGTCTCTTCTAGGTAAAAAATCATCACGTGCTTTGAGGACTGCTGTATTTGGTCTGGCTGAGCTTATTTTCCCCATGCAGCCTCCCGGAGCGGTGCCTTTGTGTTGGGAGTCAGACGGGTGCTGATAACACCCATGTTGTGACTGCCTCTGAGCAGGGCTCGCACAGCTTTTACAAAGGTTGAAAGCCTCCCTAAACACTTTCCAGTTTATTGATTCATCGACTTAATGGTGGAGACCTGCATTTGAGCCAAGACGTTAACATTGAGCTATTTTCTGTCCAAAACACAGACCAACAGGCTCTGCTACAGTAATTCTCACCAAGGCCAAACAACTTTGTTTATTACGAAGCATGTGGATAGGGAAAGGTTTGGGGGTTTTTTTGGTTTTTTTTGGTTGTTTTTTTTTTTTTTTTGGGTTTTTTTTTTGGGTTTTTTTTTGTTTTTTTTTTTTTTGTTTTGTTTTGTTTTGTTTTGTTTTGTTTTTTGGTGTTTTGTTTTGTTTTGTTTTTTTGTTTGTTTGTTTTGTTTTTTTTTTTGCAGGGTTAGAGTCATGATTTGCAGCATCTGTTCACAGTGTTTTATATTGTTACTGGCAGGGCTAAAATTTAAGAATGTCACTGCGCTAGCATTAGAATTAAATATTTTGGTCTAAACATTAAATTTTCTTAAATTTATGGAAATCAGTTGAGGTGCAGGTATCAAGAAGGCAGTGGCTACCCCTAAAGACTGTAAAAAAAAAAAAAAAAAACAGTATTCTGAAGATGCTGGAACACATCTTTCTTCTGATAAAATTTTCCTGTTAAATGAAAGGTCCACTACAAATTTATTCTTAAAAAACTTTCAAGGCTTTAAATAAATACTTGAATTCCATAAACTTTTCTGTTTTCCAACAAAAACCTGTAAATTTTTATCACACAGCCAAAAGTATTAACACCTTCTACTTCAAAAAAAAGGAAAGATCTGTAATAAAAATGTCAAATCCTTAGGTTACCACACTGAGGAGAATCCAGACGGAATGACTCATACTGACCGTGTGACTTGGACTTCTCTTAATCAAACCCCACAGATTTTAACATGAAACCTGATGACATGTATGAACACAAAAGCTGGCATGCTACCTAGCAGTAGAACTGTGAAGCACATGATGTGCATGAAAGCCAGTCGCATTCACTCAGCCTGCACCCACTCAATGCAGTTTCATCACCATGGGGATGCAATTTATTGATCCCATCCACTGGTGGGTACCAAACTGCTCCGCAGCACTAGGAGCTCCCACAGTTACACCCTAGCCAGCATAACAGCCTGGGGTCTTCCTGCACACTTACACGCCTGTTGCTTTTCATGCAATCACAGCTCAGATGAACCCAAGCACCAAGCAGCCACCAGAGATACCCTTAACTTGAAGTCTTCATTACAGCAGAGAGGAAGGGACCAATTTCGGTACAAGTAGAGAGTAACATCAAGCCCAGAATGGCTGAAAATCAATATCCAAACAACTTTGAGGGATGGGGAGGAAGTTTCTCTTTCCCCTCTAAATACATTTGGACAGGTATGCACAGGACAAAGCTTCCTCTCTGGCAGAAAAATATCGTTTCAGAGCATAAGCACTACAAGCTGACTTCAGACCAGCTCTGGGAAGAAGAGCAAGTTTAAAAGATGGAGCCCCACCACCTAGCCTTAATTATAGTCTAATTGCTATAACTGAGAGCTATTAGTGCATAACATGATAAATTAAAATCTATACAGAATTATCCAACTTGGATGGAAAACAGCTATTTTGGGGGGTTTGGATGCACATGAAAAATTCCAAGGGCTATTTGCACAATATGTAGAAATTATGAAACTGAACTCAGTGACTGAAAACAGCTCTGCATAAAAAGAAACAAGGCCCTTCCCTAAGAACAAGAGCATTTGTAGATTGAGACATAATTACACAGAAAAGAAAAACAACCACATAATCACACAAACTTTACACTTCTGCTATTGAGCACAGACCAAAGTCTCTGCACAAAGGCAACTAAATGCTGATACGAACTGCTGCAACATAAAACACGATAATTGACATAATTCCTCAGGTTTCTTGACCCTCATGATCCTTCAGCTTTATACTGAATATGAGGGATATGGGATGGAACACCCCACTGGTCAGTCTAGGGTCACTTGTCCTGTCCACTCCTCCCTGCAGATGCAGCTTGTACTTTCTGCCCCTCTCCACGTGGTGCACAAGCTTTAGCAGTGACCTTGGTGTGCACAGCAATCCTTGGTGGTAACCCTAAACATGGAGCATTATCACTGCTAGAAGCAGACACTGTCTGCAAAAACATTCTGAATTGATTCTGTTTTATGCCAAAACAGGACATATAGGCACCCAACAGGATAAAGTCTGGGTTGAGTATCAAGCATACAAAACCACCTTTATGTGCAATCCATTCTTTCCACAGAGCTCTGCTTGCTGCATAAAGGCATTTCTACACCTGGCACCTGCTTAAGGACTGCCAGGAAGACAACTGTGCAACTTCTGCTTCCTTCACAGCAAGGAGCTGTCTCTGTGTAGGCAAGAGGAAAAGGGATTCAATCCAAAAACTTAAAGAGGGGAATCCATTAGAAGTGTATTTACAAGAAGTGAGTACAAGGGGCTTTGAATAAGGATTAAGAAGGTGAAGGCAGTCACATCTGGATCAGGGATGTTTTAGCTCTGAATGCATTTCATAGTTTTAGTTATGAATGTCATAACTCTAAAGCCTTATAGAAATAAGGAGTATCGTGCAAGCCTCAGGCACTTTGGGACAAATAACATTTATATTTATTTTCCTGAAAATGTGGTCCTTCTGGATTGGGAGCCCCAAGCATTAGCCTCCTCTTTCTATCCACAGAACTAGTAAAAAACTTGCTTTGCTCTGCCTACGCTAACCAATGCACCACTGAGAAACAGCAATTCATTCACAGCTCACACACTTGACCCTTGATGCTCCTCACTGCTGACTGTCTGATCTCCAAGAAATGCTGCATAAAAATTAAACAACTGTGCTGGCCTAGAAAAAGTTTTCAGAAGTGAGAGTAAGGAAAAGACAACAGAACCAAAACAAACAAAAAAAACACCTCACAACAGAAACACTTCAAAACCTTTTTTTTTTCCCCAGATCCCAACTCTGAGACACTGAGAGCCACGCAGCTTCACATTTCACTTACAAGCAGCAACAGCTTACGCATCTCATGTATCAATTTAATTTCTCAGAGAAATGTAATGTCAGCTGTATTTGAAAGAGTAACAATGAAGATTTACTCTAAGATAGCAATACTTAGGTTAGATCTCAAACCTGCTATCAGACACTAAACCAGTACAACTGAGCTAAGCTTTAAAACCAACTCCGTTTAAGTTTAAGCATCACTGCCTCAGATATCTTAATTATTTCTACTAAACAACACTTTCTTACACCTTCACAAACACAAAAAGTGCTCTGTAAACAACATTTAACGCTTCCTCCAGATGTGGTACGCTCTTGCCCTTAACAGAGATTCAATCTGTGCAGGAAAGAATATAGCCCTTCACAGGGTTTAACTCCTCTTGCAATAAATATCACTCTAAAATTAAAAAAAAAAAAAAAAGGTATTCAACAGCATAGTCTATTTCTTCAAAGATTATTTTTTTTATTTTTTTCTTTTTACCAATGCCTCTTCCATCATGATCACTTTCTGGTAATTTCTTTATAAACAGTTTTCATCCATACTTACCAAAAAAACCATTGGTCTTTTCCACGTCATTATGCCTAAAATTCCACATAAGATTACCTAAAACATAAAAAAACATAGCATCATGAAGAAGTGAACAACTCTTCACAAAATGGCATTTACATGGTACTTATCACTGCTCTGATGAAAGGTACTTTGGACACCACAACAATGCTGGAAGATATGAAAGTGCACTTTAAGGCAGAGAATAAGAGCCTGTGCTAATGAGGCTCTTCACTCCTAAGAGCACCCTGTGAAATAACACTACCAAATTTTAATCTGCTGTAGCTTTATTCACCTGACGTGATCAATCTGACCTAGTGTAATGTGCATCTATGACTTGGCCAAAACACCTGCTGGTACCATCACTGGTGTTGTTGCAAAACCACATATGTAACTCTGCAGTTCTGTAACAAATAATTTTTTTAATTCTGTGAGTGCAAAATGGTCATGATTTTGTAACAAAGCACATCAATACTGATGTGAATTGATGTTTTGTCTTAAAGACAACAAGATTTATTTCATTATGTTGGTTAAAGTTTTAAGATATATGAAATCGAAGTCTTTCTAAAAGCTTTCCTGTGCATGAGGAAAATGTTAACTGGTGCATCATAATCAGCATGTTGTGTCTAAAATGAAAAGCCCCAGACACATCCTCCGTTACAGCATTTAACTAACTCCACCTTTCTAGGCTTCTTCTGGGTTAAAGTTTTCACTCATGCTGTTACACCCAAAGGGCAGTTTTGGCAACTGAATCTATTATTGTTTCAGAGGTGGCATTAAAAAAGTGAATGCCCTTCTCCATTACTAAAGAGATTGAATGCTTCCATTTTACGTGTGCAATTTTAAAACATTTTAGAACCACAGGCACGGTTCTGTGTGCAGGGTTCAAAGAAAGTCCACAGTTTACATATACTTAAATTTCTATTAATCTAGGGTAAGGGGGCGGGGGGGGGGAAAAAAAGACAGATCACAAGAGAGCTACCAGACATACACATTTGGACAATCTGGGTTCTGTTCCACTTGCGGCTCCCCTGTAAAGCTTGTCTATACTTTAGTAAGCGTTGCACGTGAATAGAAACTACCAGATCCCCAAACGGCAGATCATGAGCACATTTCTACAAGTTGTGAACCACACTGGAAAGTTAATTTAAGTGTTTAAACTGAGGGACAGGCTGATGCTGCTCCCACCGGCACCGGG